TTTTTTTTTTTTTTTTTTTTTTAATAATTATTTTACCTTTCACACGTGTGTGCGTCTCTAACCCGTGATGTCATATTTATTATTATTATTTATTAAAATACCATTTGAGTGTATAAATTAAAAGGATAAATGAGATAATTTATGATCTTATTAATCAAATTTACGTGATTATTTAACAAAAAAAAACTATTTTAAGCGTTATTTAATATAAATAATTACAAACTACAAGCAGATCTCCACCCTTATTATTATTATTATTATTTCCAAATACATTAATTACGAAATAGCCTAATTAATACTATCAACAGTTATATATAAACTCCCTTTTTCATTATTTTTTTTTATTTCTTTTTACCTTATAGTGTATAACAGATTTGATTATATACTTTTAAAATTTTACTTAATAAAAAGTTGATGGAGTGATTAAAAGAATAAATAGTATGATTAAATTAAAATTAATTATTAAAATATCGAATTTTGATGGCTTTGAATTGATTCAATTTTTTTTTATTGATATTAATATTTTATTTCCCTGAGTTGATGAATATCAATTTTGGAAAAAGTCAATGCATTCTATTCATGATTGAAAAAATAAGTTATTTGGTTAAATAATTAAATATTAAAATAATTTAATACATAAAGTTTTTTGTTTTGGTAATTCAACTTTCAAAATCTACATTTTAATCCCTAAATTTTTTTAAAAATAATAATTTTGATAGATTAATTTATTAAAATAGAAATTAAAATAAGGGTCAAAACGCAGCGTTTTATCCCAATTTATAAGAGAGAGAGAAGATGTGATGGTGGAGTACAAGTGGATGAAACTCGATCGAACGGCCTAAATTATCCGTCGACTTAAGAAATTAAATAATGATTTTAAAATGAATAAAAATTACATAAACAAAGCCCTTGAACTCTTCGTATCTTCTTCTTCTTCTTCCTCCGATTGTCCTCTCTTCTATGGTTTTCTGTAATTTCTAGGCCCGTTGCTCCTGATTTCACAGATTCCTTCCTTCACTAATATCGCCGATTTTCTTCCTCCTTGTTTTAGGAATCTGCTTTCCACCATTTCTGATTTCGTTCCTCTGAAGGTTTGTACACTTTCTTCCTCTCTATTTGCGTTGATTTTCTCTTGTTTTTCTTCAATCCATTTGTTTCCTTTGTTTTTCCCCTTTTTGCATCGCTGTGTTGTTGGTGTCAATTCGGTTACACTTTGCGTGTTCGGTGTGGATTCCAAAATTGGGGGTTTCTTCTTGTCTGTCATTTTGCATGGTTTTGGATCACGATCCCCTGATTTGTTTCTTTAATCGATTTTAATTAGCATCTGTTTTGCGATTTTAGTTAGTTTTGATGCTTTTGACTTTGATAGGATTGTAGGAGGTTGTTGAATCTTAATTCTGATTTTGTTTTGTTTCGTGATGTCTGGTGAATATAGCTGCTGATATTTGGGGTGGAAATTAAGATGGCGAATGAGTTTGGGGAATCAACAAGTGTGCCACATCAAAACCCTTCTTGGTCCAGTAATAGTGACAACACTAACAATGATACTGGCGATTTTGAATGCAATATCTGCTTCGAGTTAGCTCAAGACCCAATTATCACTCTTTGCGGCCATCTCTTTTGCTGGCCCTGTCTGTATAGATGGCTGCATCATCACTCGCAATGTCAAGAATGTCCTGTTTGTAAGGCTCTTGTTCAGGAGGAGAAGTTGGTTCCTCTTTATGGTAGAGGTAAAGCACCATCTGACCCAAGATTAAATAGATATCCTGGTATTGATATTCCAAATCGCCCTGCCGGGCAAAGGCCTCAAACAGCACCACCCCCTGCAGCTAATGACTTTGCAAACTACGGGTTTGGATTCACTGGTGGCTTTATGCCAATGGCGGCAGCAAGGATTGGGAACTTCACTTTAGCTACTGCTTTTGGTGGTCTGATCCCATCTTTATTCAACATCCAGTTTCATGGATTTCCTGATGCTACAGTGTATGGAACCACCTCTGGTTACCCCTATGCATTCAACACATTCCATGGGGGTCATGGTCACCATTTTCCACAGCCACCGAGTCGAGGTCAGCATGCTGATAACGTACTGAAAAATCTCTTTTTACTCGTCGGCGTCTTCGTAATTCTTGCCTTGCTTTGGTGGTGAAAATAGCACAAGTGTAGAGATTTCATTTACTGCTTATGAAGTGAAGTAGTTTAGCTAATACTGCGATTTTATATATATATATATATATATATATATGTATGCTTGATAGTAGTACACTTACTGTGAGGTTCCCATTGATTCATGTTGTTCACATCCCAAAGGACTTCTGGATGTTTCTTTCTCCTGCACAGACCAGCCCATGTTCACTTCTTTACCCCACCAACAGAAATAAAGATCAGCTCTAATTTGTTTCAGCTAAGATTTCCTATGTATGATCCACTGATTATTGATCTTTCCCATCAAATTTCTTCATCTCAGCTTCAAAACCACACTGAAATTATTGATATTTTGTTACTGAAAAGAAATTTCTTTAGTTCCAAGTTTATTTGGCAGCCTGCTGAAACTAATAGACATGGCTGTTCCCCATTTTACTGAATTTGTGGTTGGATGGATCTACTTTTAACCTACTGTAAGTTCAGCCTGCTGTTCACTTTTGGGTGTGTTTCTTGATTGCTTAGTTAGTTTCTGATAAACTTTCTTTGGTTAGGTTTGTTTTCTGTTGTGTTATACTAAATGCTTGATTTGCTTTCCTATAACTGCCATGGACACTATACATTTGAAATGTGAGAAATTTATTGAACATAGTCACCGTCTGTTCTCGGCAATAGGAGATGAATGTATTGGAGATTGGTTGGGCTCGTGTGTACTTGAAATTTAACCGATATCTTATAGATTCTTAAACTCTCACTTCTGTAGTTTCGTGTTCTCATAAGTTGTTAAACTTTCCATTAATATTTGTTAGATAAAGTATATAGTAGACGCAAACATGAAAGTTTATATATCGATGGTCAATATAATGCGAATGTTGGTTTATTTTATTTTTATTTTGACCTACACCTTTCTTTATATTTAACCAAATTGAAAGTATACCTTTCTTTATTTCTGGTCAATAACTTTAATTACTATATTTTTAACCCAATAGTTTCAATCACAAATTGAATTTTCTAATTTTTTAAATACGATTAGCTCTTCAACTAGAATAACCCTATATTCTATTCTAGTCCCCTCCACTTACATATTTGACTGCCAAACTATTCCCTGGGCCATGGGCTCATTCATGGGCTTTCATGTCAACACTTTGGGCAACCATTTGGGACAACAATCTAATTTGGAGTGTTCTTAGGTAGTATGAATTGAGCTTTTAGATTATGGGTATAATTCTCTTAGATTTCTTTTAAATTCGAGCTCTATGGTACACCATTTCATCATGAAAAAAAATTTGAGAGTCGAAGATGAAATGACACCGACACTATTGCATTTTTTTTGTATAGATGGTTCAAGTGAATTTGTGATAGCGTTCATGGTTCATGTTCAAATCGTTATACCTTATTTGTTCTACTAAATAAAAGTTGATAACAAAAAAAATTAAGATATAAAATTCAATATCTTTTTAAATTTTAGAATAGATATTTATTTCCTAAAATTCAAATTTACCATATGAAAATGATATTTTTCTTAAAATTCACGGATTTACTAGAAATTAAATTAAATTTTTGGGATCATTCAAATTAATATATATATATATATATATATATATATATATATATATATTTGTTATTATTTAGAAAAACAGGGAAAGTAAATATGATTATGAATAAATGAGTCAAATACGTGAAAACGAAACGTTGAATTTAAATAAATGAACCGACGTTTTGATGGAGAGTGGGTAATTTAAATTTAATTAAATGGAAAAAGAAAAAAAAGGAAAAAAAAAATCAGAAAAATTGTGGATGAGATGAATTTAGACTGTGTGTGGGTCCCTTATTCTTGATTCCAAAGGCACAACATGCCGTGTGTGAATGTGTGCAATAATAATCTCCTTCAATAAATGACACACTTTCTTTTTTTTTTATATATTTGTTACTTTTTTGAGATGATATTTACCTAAAGCTATTAATTTTTGGTGCATTTAGAAATAGGATTCATAGAATCCAGCACATTTTAAAATTATTTAATAATTTGAAGTTAATGAATATAGAAAAATTAATTAGAAAAATAATAATAAGGAGGAAAAATTGGTGAAAGGGGAGTATTGGCATGTGAGGCACATGGTTTGTTTAATGAAACCCTCCAAATAATGAGGGGAAGTAGTGTTTGTTACACCCCCACACTCTGTCTTCAATCCCTTTCTAATCGTCCCTTCCCTCCCACGTGCTTTCCATTTTATTAACTTTTTCGTTCAATTAGTTATTAATGTAACATATATTAGGAAGATAAATATTTTTTTTTTAATTATTACCTTATTCATCTTTTTAAATATATTCAATTAATTTGAAGAGAAAAAAACACA